CCTGGCCTTCCTTATAGCTCCTTCAGGCTGTTCCTTCTGTCCAAATTGCTTCTCTTACTCTCACTAGCCTCTTTTGCCCAGTTAACTCCTACTCATCCTTCAGACCTCACTGTAAAAGTCATTTCCAAAGAAAGCTTTCTCTGGGGACTTTGGCTAAATCAGCCCCCTGGGTTAGATTCACTTGGATCCAGTGTGTGTCACCCTGGACTGGCCTATAAATTCACCAACTCATGTGCTCTCAGTTGGTACAAATATAGTCTGTGACACTGTGAAAACCACTGGAACCTAGGAAGAAGCGCTAGTCTCAGGGGCAAGAGGTTTGACTCTTTGTCTCAGCTTTGCTACAAACTTCGAGTGACCTTGGACAAGCTCATTTCCTCTCCCTGGGGCTGTGTCCAGTGTGGGGAGGTATGAGGTCCCGCGTCATCCAAACATTGACTTCCTCAAGCATTCAGGCATTCATTGATTTTATTCAGGCAGTCATTTGCTCACTGAAGCTGATGGAGCCTCTGTGTCAGGATGCTGGGGTTGTAGAATGAAATCAAGAACAAAAGCCCAGAGTGGAATGGGCTAGACAAATATAAACCTCTCAGTATATGACAAGGCACATGAACACCTGCCCTAAGAGAGATCAGGCAGCTGCTGTGGGAACCTAGAGGAGGTAGCCACTATTGGCTTACATCTAGGAAGCCTCTTTGGAGAAAATGACTTTGAAGGGTTGAGAAAGGAGGAGAAATGCTGCCTGGGGACTTACCTTTCAGTGTACACACACTTGTTGGGTGTGTACAGGCCTTTTGGGGAACAGCCTCTTTGTTTTACAATTCTCCCCTGACTTTCTGCAAGAGTCTTCCTCTTCTAGTCCTGCCCCTTCAAAGCTGCATCTCCAAGGCTGCCTGAGGATCTTTCTAAACAACTTCCTGTTGCCTAAGATTAAACTCAAGTTCTTTAGCCTGGTGGTCAGGTTCTTTTCACCTGCCCCACCTTCCTTTTCTAGCCTGTCGTTCCTCCAGGCAGTTTTGGCTTCAGCCCTGTTTGACTATGCAAATGCTGTGTCTTCTACCTCCATGTCTTTGCTCATGCTGTTCCTTCTGCCTAGAATACTCTTTCTCCTCTAGAAAGCCTTCCTGCACAAGACATTGCAGTTAGCAATGTCCTCTTCTGTGCTTCCATTATGCTTTATCATCTCAGTGACGGCACTTGCCATGTTGTGCTGAAGTTATCTGTAAACTCCCTGCAGTCAGGGATTCTATTTGCATGGTTTCTGTCAATGTAGTAACAAGGATGGACACCTGGTAAAGGTTTGGCCCTTGACTAAATAAGGGAATGGGAGAGAGAGGACACTCTTGTTGAAAGGAAGGGGATAGATTTAATTTAATTAGATTCAAGACATAGAAATACCCATCTGCTCTGCCTTGCACTTATTTACCTAATGCATCACACCCAGGAGATCTGGAGAATGAAGAGGGTGGAGGAAGAGGATGCAAAGTGTATTGGGACAAGTTTGGCTTTTTGGTTCTACAAACTGACATTTTGATTTTAGTACCCAACATGGTACTAATTGTTAAAACAGGAGTCATCCCTGAACCAAATGGCTCTAATCGTCTGTTGTTTACCTATCAAGCTTCTAATCAACCTTTAAGATCTTTGTGAAGCCTGCTCTGACCTTGCCCACCAGCCCCTGTAGAGCCTGTTAGTCCAGTACCACTTGACCTTGATGTTTCTTCTACCATAGCATGTATACTGTATTTGGCCACCTTTTAAATTCATGCTCCTTATACTTGAATACTTGTTTCTCTAGTATATAACACTACAAATAACACTCTGTAAAATATTATAATAACTCGATTCTAAGTGAGTAAAAATATTTTAATGTTGAAACAAGTACAGCCATATGATGGAGTGAGACGCAAAATAATACAAGAGTCTTTAGAATGAAATAGTCTACATAAAAGTAATGATAGGCAGCATTTATTGAACACATACTCAGCAGGATATTTCAGTTTTCTGCCATGTCCCTAGGGGTGAGTGCCAGCTCTCCTAGGGTTTGTGGCATGTAGGTGGAAAAGTCTGTGAAGGGTTATTTACTTCAGTTCTGTATTTCTGGTATCCAGTAATTTGCCTCATGCAGAGTAAAGGCTTGTGGAAAATCACTCCTGCTCTCTCTGCTGAAACATCCTTTCGTCCCTCCCTGCTTGTGAACTCTTATTGGTCCTCCAATACCCAGGTTAAATGTCATCTCACCTATGAAACCTGAGTGTCTTCTCTGGCTCCCACATTCCCTGTTCAGACCCAGGACTAAGCCCCTTGATTTGGGGCTTCTGGCTTCTAGAACTGTGAAAGAATAACTTACTGTCGTTTTCAGCTACCCAGTTTGTAGTAATTTGATACATCAGCTTCAGGAAACTAATATAGCTTAGAAACAGACAAATGTCTTCTATGAAATTCCAGCAGATGGTGGAACCTGATGAGATTTGGGATTTCTCAATTACTACCTTCTCAACAAACACCTGACTGCATACCCTAGGCTCTAGCCATGAACAGGAGACAGTGTGACATATATTAGCCATCTCTGGGATCAGATCCAAAACGTCTTCAGGCAACATTACCATACATTCTACCTTGAAAGATAGCATGCTTATCTTATTAAATATTTTTAGTGCAATTATTATATGCCAGGTCCCGCACTGGGCACTATGTCTACAATGGCTTATTTACTCCTCAGAGCAACCTTGTTACTATTTTACAAATGGGAAAACTAAAGTTGAAAGGGGCACTGGCTTACCTAGGAACATACAGCTGGGAGAGCCAGGATTCTAAAAGTTTCTGATTCCTGTTGTGTCTGAGCCTAAAATACCCCGTTCTTTCTGCTGATCAGTCAGGGTGTTGGAGAAATTAGCAAAGGAGGTAAAAGATCATTATTCTTAAGAATGACTCAATATTTATTATAGAAGCAATTCTATAGATGCTATCATTATAATCCAAGGAGGTCTTCACAGAAGAGGTGTCATTTAAATTGTGCCTTCGCTTCAAAAACACGTCCTGATTCTCTGCGAGGTACTGGGAATTCAGAAAAGAATCAGATAAAGTTCTTTTGCTTGAGAAATTAACAGTGTGTGTTTGCGGGAAGGGTATGTGTGACTGTCCAAGTGTGTTACACACTTATTAAAATACAATTGAATGCAATAGAAAAATCAGGAATGTGGTAGAGGCAAGTTTTCTAACGCAGGGTCCCACAGTGAGTCTGAGAAGCCTTTTGGGATGGCAACACAAGATGAAATTTGATGGCTAAGTAAGCATTAGTCAGGAGGAGAAAAGTACCTAGCAAAGGCTTTCCAGGGAAAGCATAAACAACCCACTCAAATAAACGAAACAGCATCCCGAGTGCCTGGCTCATCCTACCAATGAGTATGCGGAGGGGCGGGGACTTATGGGTTGGAATTGGTCGTGGGTGGAGCTGGCGACACTGCCCGACAAGTTTCTGGTCTCAGGGCATCCTGCATGGTGGCTTTCTGCCGAACCATAAAGTATTCCTTTTCAATCCTCACACGTTGGCGGAAGCCCCTAGGAAAAGATTGTTCAGGAAATCTGCGACTACAGACAGACACACCATCGAGCCCCAGCTGGCGCCAAATGGGTCCCCGCCCTCCAAGGGAGGCCGGTTACCATGGCAATTAGGTTAGGGCGGAAGTGGCTCCCAAAACTGACTCTCAGTAATCAGGTGACTCTCCTGCCTCCTTCACGTGACACCGGAGCCCAGGCGCCGGTCTACCTAGTCGGACTCCGCCCCTCTTTTCCTTTACTGACAACTGACGGCGACCTCGAGCAATGGTCCTTGCGGCTCTTCCAGGAGACCCCGCCCTGTGGTAGTGAAAGAGCCAATTAGACCGGGGAAAAAAGAAGCAACGCCCCAGGTTTCACCCCGGTTTGACAGACGCAATTTAGGCCATCCCTGGGTCCCTTCGCCCCTGCCTATTTCTGCTGGCGACGGACAAATCTTCTGCCCAATAGCGCGTCCTCTTTTTGTCGTTTGGTCCCGCCCCCATGGAAGCTGAACCAATGGGCAAGCCAGGTCTCAGCGGGTGGTGGGGGTTGCACTGCGGTAATATGGCTCTTCCTTAGCCAGCGGCGGCGGCTGGAGGTGGGGTAGAACGGTCCTGGCTCTAGGTTGGTTGGTTTCTGGGCTGCAGGATCTCGGCGGGTCGTGACTCGGCGGTTGTGGCGGATGCCGGAGGAGCGTCGGTCCCGCCGCTTGGCGGCCCCTGGGTCAAGATGAACGCTTCAGCGTCAGTCGGGGGCCCACTCCCCCCGCCGTCCACGGGCCCGGCCGCAGCGCTGCCTCCAGGTTCTGCCGCGCGGGCCCTGCATGTGGAGCTGCCGTCTCAGCAGGTAACCCCGCGGGCTCGCTGCGCTCTGGAGGGACCGGGAGGAGGCCCGTGAGGGAATCTCCGTGGGCCGCGGGCTGACCCAGTGCCAGCCGGGAGACCGGGAGAATTGGCCGGGGAGAACTCCGAGGACTGAGGGCTGTCTGGAGGTCTTGGGAGGGGAGGGATCCAGGGATGGCCGAATCTCTGGGGGATATTCGAGTCCCAGGAGACATCCCGTTACAGGAGATGGGTTGGGAAGAGATGGGAAGGGACCCACTGAAACTCCCCGGGCTCCGCCTCCCCCCCGGTAGGGAGCTGGGGATTCCCTGGCGCAGACCCTCCGCTTTATCCTCTTGGGAAGGGACCCGGGGAAGCCCTGGTGTCCCAGGAGAGATGGGGAAAGCGCTTTTTCATTTTTAACTCTTTCGCTTGCTCACAAACCGATTGGTGCTCCCTGCTGCCGGCGAAATGAGGTTTCCCGCATTTGCTTTTAATCTCCTTATTATGAAGTACTCCTATAAACTTCTCAAGAAAAATCCTTTGGGACTTCGGATTTCCTTCCTATTCTCCGACCCCCCAGAGAAGGCACTTTAGCAATTTGAGGGGTGCTTCTGACGCCCCTGCCTATTTCTGCTGGCGACGGACAAATCTTCTGCCCAATAGCGCGTCCTCTTTTTGTCGTTTGGTCCCGCCCCCATGGAAGCTGAACCAATGGGCAAGCCAGGTCTCAGCGGGTGGTGGGGGTTGCACTGCGGTAATATGGCTCTTCCTTAGCCAGCGGCGGCGGCTGGAGGTGGGGTAGAACGGTCCTGGCTCTAGGTTGGTTGGTTTCTGGGCTGCAGGATCTCGGCGGGTCGTGACTCGGCGGTTGTGGCGGATGCCGGAGGAGCGTCGGTCCCGCCGCTTGGCGGCCCCTGGGTCAAGATGAACGCTTCAGCGTCAGTCGGGGGCCCACTCCCCCCGCCGTCCACGGGCCCGGCCGCAGCGCTGCCTCCAGGTTCTGCCGCGCGGGCCCTGCATGTGGAGCTGCCGTCTCAGCAGGTAACCCCGCGGGCTCGCTGCGCTCTGGAGGGACCGGGAGGAGGCCCGTGAGGGAATCTCCGTGGGCCGCGGGCTGACCCAGTGCCAGCCGGGAGACCGGGAGAATTGGCCGGGGAGAACTCCGAGGACTGAGGGCTGTCTGGAGGTCTTGGGAGGGGAGGGATCCAGGGATGGCCGAATCTCTGGGGGATATTCGAGTCCCAGGAGACATCCCGTTACAGGAGATGGGTTGGGAAGAGATGGGAAGGGACCCACTGAAACTCCCCGGGCTCCGCCTCCCCCCCGGTAGGGAGCTGGGGATTCCCTGGCGCAGACCCTCCGCTTTATCCTCTTGGGAAGGGACCCGGGGAAGCCCTGGTGTCCCAGGAGAGATGGGGAAAGCGCTTTTTCATTTTTAACTCTTTCGCTTGCTCACAAACCGATTGGTGCTCCCTGCTGCCGGCGAAATGAGGTTTCCCGCATTTGCTTTTAATCTCCTTATTATGAAGTACTCCTATAAACTTCTCAAGAAAAATCCTTTGGGACTTCGGATTTCCTTCCTATTCTCCGACCCCCCAGAGAAGGCACTTTAGCAATTTGAGGGGTGCTTCTACATTCCTTCAAAAGAGTAACTGTGGAAGAAAGAACATTTAATGTACAGTACATATTCACGTTTCCCCCATCCTTTAGCAAGATGTGCAGAGCTTCTTGGATCCAACTTGGATGCACACTGTAAGCAGATAATAAAGAGAGAACACCGAGTTTGGGGACCTGACAAAACTCTTTTTATCACAGACTTAATTGTAGAGTACTTCTTTCCTTCTTTCCCCTACCTTCTTGTATCCCCCAGGAAGAGACTTTGCAGGAAGTTTGGCATTTAAGAGACTGAACGGAAGTACCTTTCATCTTCCCCCATCCACAGAGAGGACCTAAGAAAAATGGCCAGTTGTTGAGAGTCTACCGTGTTGGGTTTGTGCCAAGTGCTCAGCTGGCTGGGAGTCAGTTCAATCTCCCAACTCGGGGAGGTGGCTATTTTTTATTAGCTGCATTTTGTAATTCTGGAGACAGAGGCTTAAATATGTAAAAGCGCCTGGCCAAAGCCTTGCAGTTAGTAATTGGTGAGGCTGGGTTTCAGAATCTGGCCTCTGACTGTAGCCCGTGCACGTGGTGGCTGTGCTGCAGACTTGAGCAATCTTTTCTCCACTCTCTTCACGTGGGACAGAGTACTTTCCTCCACACCCTTCCTCCAGTGTCCCATCCCTGTCTTAGGAAAGAGTCAGACAGAAGAGAATAGAGGTTGGGGTCAGAGGGTGGATGGGAGATGGGCTGGATTTGAATACAGGAAAGTGGGGGCATGTGGGGACTGCTAAAGGGCTAGAAAGATGGAGAGCCGAGCTACTGCGGTGACCATGGAGCTGAGCTGTTTGCAGAAGCAAGGGCTTTTAGTGCCGCAGGAGAGAGGATTTAAGATACTGGGAGAGCATGGGCCCTGGTTTTGTGGTGCTGTTGGGAAGGGAGTTTGTGGAGAGTATGAATTTGAGGGTAGTGAAGTTTAGATTGTATTTACAAGGTTTCTAGGGGAGAGTGAAAGTCTGGGGGAGAGGGAGACTAGCCTCTGGAATGAGCATTAATGTGAATTTTCGTGTGTGTGTGTGTGTGTGTGTGTGTGTGTGTGTGTGTGTGTGTGTCGGTGGATTGTGAGAGTGGATACTGGGAGAGGCAGTGATGGGCACAGAAATCCTGAAGGAGGAGCCAAGAGAGGTTTAGTTTGGGAGAGCTTTGGGAAACTGTGGGATTAGGAAAGTGAAAGCATCATTTGTTTCATAGAGCCTGTTCTCTGATAACAGTTCCCAGTTTAACGTTGGGGGAAATAATCCAAACAAACTGTGCATGGAATAAATCCAACTGCATTTGTAAGCATTTGTCCAGTTTTGGGGTTTGTGCCAAGGGATATATAGTGGCTTAAGTGTACGGCTGAATGCTGTATGATCACTGAGTATGGTATTTACAGCTTTCTGGGGGTGTCATCCTTCTTGAATTCTTGGAAGGCAGCCTATACAGCAAAAGCATTTTTACTTTTGCTCTTGACATTAATTTTGCTTTCTGGGTCAAAATGCTCAAGATTTTAGGATATAAACATATAACATTTAAAAAAAGTAAACATGTTTATTGAAGTGTTACTGGTATACAGTCAAGTGTACCAGTTATTAGTACACAGCTTGATGAATTGTCACAAAACAAAGTTATGTAAGTGCTACCTAGATTAAGAAATACGAAATTATTTCCATCCCAGAAGTCCCCCTCACGTCCTCTCCCATGTCTACCTTTCTCTCCAAAGGAATTGCTGTTCTGATGTATAAAAGTTTTTGCCTGTTCTTGAAAGTGTATATAAATGGAATCACACAAAAAGGTATTATTCTTTTGCTCAATATTGTTTGTGAGAGTCAGAGAATGTGTGTATATGTAAAAACATTTTTTAGTATTATTGTCTTTTTAGCTTATGGCTTTTTCAGAATTTCGAAGCTTTAGATAAATTGGAAATCCAGTTGACTTTTAAATAACACTTTGAAAATTGTGTCACTTTAATAGATTACATGCTATTTGATAAGATGTCAGTATTTTTAAACATAAAAAAGATCCTGTTAAGATTTTCACGATAAAATTGTTTATTTCCAAGCACACGTTCAGTGGTTTCTCCCCACTACCCCCAGTCTGTTTCTAAGGCAGAGTTTTTCAACCTCAGTACTGTTGACATTTGGGTTGGTTGATGGGTCTATAAAGTATTTCGTCACCTCCGTGGCCTCTACCTGCAATATACCAGCAGGACCACCTCAGGCCTGACAATCAAAAATTGTTTTTAGATGTTGTCAAATGTCTCATAGGGAGCAAAATTACTTCTGGTTGAAAACTACAGTTCTAGGATATATTTTTGTCTTCGGATAGAGAGTACCCCGGGTTTCCCTTGTGGCTCAGCTGGTAAAGAATCCGCCTGCAATGCGGGAGACCTGGGTTTGATCCCGGGTTGGGAAGATCCTTTGGAGAAGGGAAAGGCTACCCTCTCCAGCATTCTGGCCTAGAAATTTCCATGGACTGTATAGTCCATATGATCCCTGATGCTGGGAATGATTGAAGGCAGGAGGAAACGGGGTCGACAGAGGATGAGATGGTTGGATGGCATCACTGACTCAATGGTCATGAGTTTGAGTAAACTCGGAGTTGGTGATGGACAGGGAGGCCTGGCGTGCTGCAGTCCATGGTGTTGCAAAAAATCAGACACAACTGAGCAACTGAATTGAATTGAGAGTGTATCCCTTTTATTACTTACTGATTTATCTCATCTCAGTCTTCCTTAAGTACCATTGATTCTAGTGGCTGTATTGTTTAAAATATTAGTTTACTGTATATTAGTTCCCAAAGTGTTGGACTCCCCCTACCCCCAGTCTGCCTCCAGAAAAAGATTTGTTTTGGCTCAAAGAAAGCCCACAAAACTATAAGACCTAACTAATATTTTTTATTTTAATCCACTTTTCTTAAAAAAAAAAAATCTAGTTAACTCTGCGTAAATCCTGAACCTTTATATATGTATGAGTACTAACTACAGTGCATAATAGCTACTTAATTTTGTCAGATGGGACTGCTACTTTTTCTTCTTTTGCTTCTTTATGATCTTACTTTACCTGTAATTTAAGCATGAACTAGTCATGCATTTTGAAGACTTGTTTTTTCTTTTTAATTTTTGGTTGAGGTTTGTAATTAGTGAATATAACCTCATTTGAAGAATAACTTCCTTCACATCTTAGGTTTAAGCATTTTGAAAAAAAAAAAATTGCGTTTTGTAATAGAGGTATTTATTATGTCCTTGAAAGTTTGAGAGCGTTTCTTTCCTCCCCAAAGGCTTCCTCCTTTACGTATAACCTAACTACATTCCTCAGATACTTAGAGCTGGGGAGGCTCTTTAGTGTTTGTTTAGGCCTTCCCTGGTGGCTCAGATGGCGTAGAATTCGCCTGCAATGCAGAAGACCTGGGTTCGATCCCTGGGTTGGGACGATCCCCTGGAGGAGGGCATGGCAGCCCACTCCAGTATTCTTGCCTGGAGAATCCCATGGACAGAGGAGCCTGGTGGGCTACAGTCCATGGGGTCGCAGAGTCAGACATGGCTGAGGGACTAATGCTAACCAACTTCCCAGGTCAANGGGGTTTGCTCAAACTCCTGTCTATTGAGTCAGTGATGCCATCCAACCGTCTCATCCTCTGTTGCCCCCCTTCTCCTCCTGCCCTCAAAAAGGATTGAGGGCAGGAGGAGAAGGGGACAGTGAACTCATTTATCCTTACACAACCCTATGAGTTTCAAAATGCTTTAAAATTTTTTTATTTATTTTTGGCTGTGCTGAAACTTCATTGCTGCACACAGGCCTTCTCTAGTTGCAGCAAGTGTGGGCTACTCTAGTTGTGATGCACAGATTCTCATCACGGTGGCTTCTCTCTTGTGGAGCACAGGCTCTAGGATTCACAGGCTTCAGTCATTGCGGCGCATGGGCTCAGTAGTTGGTGCACGGGCTTAGTTGCTCTGAGGCATGTGAAATCTCCCTGGACCAGGTATCCAGTCTGTGCCTCCTGCATTGGCAGGGGGATTCTTAACCACTGGTCCACTAGGGGAGTCTGAGTTTCGGTATACTTACATAGATCTGTGTAGCATTTTAATTTCTTTTGCGACTTGCTTGTTTATGTCCCTGGCATTAATTTTTCTGATTACTTACTTGTGTTTTTTTCATTCATTTAAAGAGCATTTTTCTTGTCATTTTTTTGGAAGGAAGTGGGGTATATTAGTGCTGTTATATATTATTAGTGCTATTATATATCAGTGCTCCCTTGAATTTTTAAAAATAGATTTTATTTTTTAGCACAATTTTAGGTTTATGGACAAATTGAAGATAGTACAGAAGGTTTCATACTGTATACCCATTTTCCTCTAAACATCTTTCATTAATATGGTACATTTGTTACAATTGAAGAAACAGTAT